CTAATTACAATGACACACCTATTTTGTGAAACTTCATCTAGCTGTACACTTTTCTATATGTATGTCGTACTTCTTTAAAAATCTTACATTAAATAAGGTCCCCAACTACTGAATCATGATTTCTAATCTTTTCCTACCACCAAGATTCTTCACCTATACTACGCTCAGAGACTTAACTAGCAATGGTCTTACATCACCCCCCATGTTCTTAGGGATTTAAATGTCAATATCTCTGTCCATATCTACTATATGCTAAGCCCTTTAATGTTCACTTGTTCAGATACTTATTAAATTTATGTACAAAACCTGTGCTTGCTGAGAACTTGGGGTACAAAAAAATTAGTAAGACATAGTCCCTGTCTTCTAGGAGTTCATAATCTTATAGAAGACCACATACACAGATAACAAGGTAAATATATAGAGATACACACAGGATATTATGGGAATACAAAGGAACATCAGAAACAGCCAGGGGGAGGTAAGGCATCAGGGTAGGCTTCTAGGAGGTGTTAACACCTGAGTCCTTAAAAGATGAGGAGTTATCCTGGCAAAGTGCATTCCAACACAGGAAACAGCTTGAATAAAAACAGTGATAAGAAACAGCACAGTGTATTTAAAGAAACAATGAACAGCTGCTAGGCAGTTGCTGAAGCGTAGTAAAAGGGAGAACTGGGATGGGGTTGGGGGAAGTAGCCAAAGAGATAGGAAGATGCCAAGTCATGAAGAGACTTAGACCTTATCCAACAGGAAAGATGGGTCAGTGAGATTTATGCAAAGAAATTATGTGGTCAGATAGATTATTCAGGGAGCAATGCAGAGGATGGACTTAAAGGGAATAAAGTTGGCAGAAAGAAGGACGGTTAGGAGGCAGTTTTAACTGTCCAGACAGAAGATCATAAGGGCTGAAATAATGAAATGAAAGATATAGCAAATCCGGAAAAAATACAGAGTACAGACACATTATGCTGCTGATCTAGAGACCGCATTTTGAGAACCACAAATATATACTACGGGTTGACAATTTTTTTTCTGTAAAGGCCCAAATAAATAGTAAATATTTTAGACTTTACAGGCCACATACAGACTCTATTTCACTTCTTGGTTCTTGTTTGTTTTTTAAACCCTTCAAAAATTAAAAACCGGGCTTCCCTGGTGGCGCAGTGGTTAAGAATCTGCCTGCCAATGCAGGGGACACGGGTTCGAGCCCTGGTCTGGGAAGATCTCACATGCCATGGAGCAACTAAGTCCATGTGCCGCAACTACTGAAGCCTGCGCGCCTGGAGCCCATGCTCCGCAACAAGAGAAGCCACCGCAATGAGAGGCCCGCTTGCCGCAACTAGGGAAAGCCCACTCGCAGCAGTGAAGACCCAACACAGCCAAAAATAAAATAAATTAAATAAATAAAATTTTTTTAAAAATTAAAAACCATTCTGTTAGTGGACTTTACCCCCCACACACAAAAAAAGGCCACAGGCTGGGGCCTCCCTGGTGGCGCAGTGGTTGGGAGTCCGCCTGCCGATGCAGGGGATATGCGGGTTCGTGCCCCGGTCTGGGGGGATCCCGCATGCCGCGTGGCGGCTGGGCCCGTGGGCCGTGGCCGCTGAGCTTGCGTGTCCGGCAACGGGAAAGGCCGTGACAGTGAGAGGCCCACATATCGCAGAAAAAAAAAAAAAAAAAAAAAAGGCCACAGGCTGGATTTGGACTGCAGACATAGTGAGTTTGCTGATCCCTGCTGTATACCCATAAAGAAGCAAGGATTAACCTTCCTATGAGATTAATTTTCCTAAAATGCTACTTGCATATCAATCCCCTACTCAGAAACTTCTGCACTGGTCCTGATTACCTACTACATAAGTTAAATCCCTATGACGCATAGCATTCACAGGCATCTACACTCTAGCTCCAACCAGGCTCGTGAACTACACCCCGTGAGAACCTTCCATTCTTATTAAATTGGCCTACTTAGGCTTACCTGCCTCTGTATCTTTGTGGTGTTCCCCAATGTACTTTCTCCCTTTTCAAATCTACTCAAATACCCTTCCTTCAAAGCATAATTCAAATCCTTTGAAGTGATTCCACCCTCGTCCAAACTCCTAAAAGCACTGCCTCAATTTATCTGATATTTATTTTTTGTCTTGAGTTACTACACTTTAGAGAGAGACTTTTAAACTTGAGTAATAATTAGGGTGAATTTATCCTCCAATATCTTCTCGGAGAGCAGGGAATACTTGATACTTTTATCAATGGATCTAGCATATAACAAGGGGTAAATAAAAACGAAGGTGTGTATGTAGATATATAACACATATATGTATAACACTTTTTTTTCCCTGAACTAGCTATATAACTGAAGCAAATGTTATTTCACCATTTTATCAGTAATAGAGCATTTTAATTCTATGGACACAATCTGAATGCTGTAGAATTACAGAATGACAATCCAAAAGCACATCTGTCTCTCTCCTACTACATGTTTTTAGGCCTAGTTTAAGGGAACAATAATAATACAAGTAAAATTTTTCCAATGGTCAAAGTTATCAATCTAGATACAATGGGGTCTAGAAGTCACTAGATCAAGTCAAAATTTACTTACATATATTTTTATTCATTTTTAAAACATGAAATCAGCTTTTATAACTAAATTGCCTTTTTCTTTTCTTTTAAATTTGGCAGCGATGCATGGCTTGCGAGATCTCATTTCCCTGACCAGGGATTTGAACCCACGCCCTCAGCAGTGAAAGCACAGAGTCCTAACCACTGGACCGCCAGAGAATTCCCCTAAATTCACCCAAATTATTACTCAAGTTTAAAAGTCTCTCTCTCTCTCTCTCTCTCTCTCTCTCTCTCTCTCTCACACACACACACACACACACACACACACGCCACACATGGTCTGAATTTTTTTTTTTAACAATAAGGTTCTCCATGACAATTCACATTACCAAAATTGCATTAATGATTTCATTCAGAATTTAGGGAAATAAGAATATATTTTAAAATTTTAAGAAAGTGGTCCATTTTAGTTCACTACTGATAAATAGTTTTAATCACAGAATGTTTTCAGCTGGATTAAAGGATTCTTATATTTGAGATTACTGAAGAAGTCTTTTCAAGTCTGAAGTGTGAACTATACCTAATTTTACTATGCAAAGAATGTTCAAGAATCTATAAAAATTCCTCCAGAATCATCTGGCCACATTTTCAGTGCAAAAGTTTAAAACACTTTTGAAAGGTATAGAAAACAAAATAAATTAACCAAAAAGTGGCCATGAAAATGAAAACTGTGACTTTTTAACTCTTCAAAACACATTGAAGAAAAAGTTCAGTGACTCACAACCCTGAAAAGACTATTATTCATTGATAACTTTAATAGTAATAATGCATTGATTGGAGGACAAAACCACTAGCCAGGGAATCCCATTCCTGTTTTGCCACTGGTTTGTACAGAATCTTGGGCATATCCCCATAAGCTGAACAAGAAAGGCTTAACTGACATGCTAAGGTTGTGAGAACTGATGAAATGTTTACGAAGCACTTTGGAACCATGAGGGAAGCCACTATAACCATTAAAAGTCATCTGCTTAATGCAAAATTATAGCTACCTGTTAGGCTTGCAAATCCTTTATGTCTTCTTAACACAGCAAATCTTCAGTGAGTCAGTAAAGTGCATGTATTTAATGAGCGAGCTTAGCAACCTGAGAGAAATGAATTTTCTTCCAAATCTTTGTTTTCTCACAAACCATGTCTCTATCCAACCCAACTATTTGCAAAGGGAAACATGATCCGACCCACACTAAAGATTTGGGTCTAGGTATTGATAAGCCAATACCAAATGACTGAAAATTCAGGAATCACAGTGGAATTCTGTCAACTTATCAGAAATGTGACTCCTGAAAATAATCCCAGAAAACAGTCGTTCTAACAAGAGCTTTATTAAAGCGAAAGTCCCTACACTCTCTCACCTAAAGAGCTCTAAAGTATTTTTGGACAGTGTCGATAGAAGACTAAACTCGCTCAAAACCTGACACAACGCGTTAGGTAGTTCCAGCACCTGCTTGATGTTAAGCGACTGGAGACTGGGGAGGCTGCTCAGGAAAAAGTGCTGATGCCATCTCCAGCTGCCCCCTTCGTGAATGACAGTAACAATGAAAACACTGACAAAAGAGCTAGGAGGCCACCCCAAGCCTCTGCTTAGCAATACTTCTACCCTACCCCCAACAGACAGAGCAGCAAACCCCAGAAAGGGGCGTCCTCTCACAGACCTAACATGCCCAGACCCTGCCTCTGGTCTGGCAATGTCAAAAAGTACTACCCTTCACTCCTCTCAAGACGGCTGAGCACCTGAAAGGTGAGGGGGAAATGCGGCCTCTCGTTCTGAACTGCCAAGGGGAGCGGGAGAAGACTGCCTGGCAGGAGGCGGGCGAGCAGAGCCCGTGTGCACCCCGGGAGACTAAGAATCAG